GTTCTTTGACTTCACGCGTGGTTTTTGTGGTTGTTCCTGCATCCTGCCTATATCAGCTCACACAGGCGGATTGAGCAGGCTTCACTGAAGACTTTTCAGAAGGAAGAGATCTTGAAAGGATTTACTATCTCTCTTAATTGCTTTATCTAGCTGGCCATACTGAAGGCTACGTACCTTGAGTTGGCCATTCAATCTACTGTCAAGGAACTGTTACATCTACTTGCCTGCACTTGTGACATCATTCTTTATTCCAGCACACGTAATGGAGGCCTGTGTATTATCAGACTTGTGGGATGCAGGCCTGTTGGTTGCACCAAATTGTCCACCCTTCTGATGATATTAAAAAACTAATAGTTCAGCAAGAAAATATTAAAAATTAATTTTAAAAGTTGTGGATTGCTGCAGGGAGAAGGGAAGGGAAAACTCCATCAGTTTGGGACCAAAAAGCAGTCATGGTGATTCCAGAAGCAGTTTGCGGTGAGGGCTCAGTCTCAGAATGGGAAATTTCTGCTCCAAAATTCATCTTTCCAAGACTTGGCAGAAGAAGAATTTTTGAATTGGACCAGGTTGCTGTGTCAAGTGGCTGTGGAATTGCCAAATTTGAAAACAACAAAATTAGTAACAACTGGATCAAATGTTACACTGGCACTCCCCACACGAAGCTCATTGCCATCTTACAATTACGAGCTAATGTCTACCCCGTGAGGGAACTGGGGTAGATAGGAAACTCACGATCAGCCAGCACTGACAAGGTGAGAGTGAGACTTGCACACATTTACTGACCACCAGTTCAGGAACTTAGGATCAAAAGATATAACCAACTGTGTGATCTACTAGCTGAAGAAGCTGAGAAGAAGTGTTGGCTAGTGTTTTACAAGCCACTCCTACGAGATCACTAAAACAAGCTCTACAAGCCTAACCTAATATTTGTTAAGGGTGGTCAGGCACTGGTGGTGGATATAATTATCAGATAAGAAAGCAGATCATCATGACTTGCTGAGGCAGTGGCTGAGAAGGTGAGGAACTATCAAGAAGCAAGCCCCAGAGGTGAGAGATGCCACCAATATCCAGTGTGTCAGATTCCCCATTGGAGCTTGTGGGAAGTGGTACGGTGGCAATTACAGGGTTTTATCCGACCTTGGGCTCTTGAAAACCCAACAGGTAGCTCAACTCTTCTCCAGAGGAGCTTTATTCACATCTGTGGATATTGTACTTATCTTTGTGAGTCATACACGAACTATTGTGTAAAATTAACTTGACAGTAAATAAATGACTTTTGTGGGTTGTCATGATCTAGGGAAATGGATTCTTGTTGGAAGCAAGGAAGGCAGGAGGGATAGCAGGTAGGGACTAAAAGGGACTTGGTAATCATGATGCATCATCTTACACATTGACAAAATCAACTGGCCTTACCTAGGTGGACAGGCCACCTTACTTAACCTAGAAAAGGAACATGTAAATTATATGTGTTCAATAAACAGTGGGGAAGGCATTATGAATGTTTCATTTTGGAACACCTTATTAGACACCAGAATACCCTCCTCTTCTCTCATAGCCAATGAATCTGGAAAGCCAATTAGACATTACCTCTTTCCCCCAGTTGGGATATTTATAATGTCTCTCTCTTTATTCTCTCACGTCTAATAAAAGGCATGCTCACACTGTAGTCTTCTGCTATTTAATTAAAGACAATCAGCAGGGAGACACAAATCTAGAGAAAACCAGTCTTTATTAATTTTGCTGCCCTCAGACTTATTTGTTTGCCATCTGCCATACACATTAAGACAGGAACTAGTAATGCCTCACAGCCAAATGAATTATATGGATCTAATGCTGAAGACAGGAAAAGAAAAGGTACTGGTGCACTCAGGCACTGGCACCGGGATGGAGTGATTGCAGAACGCATTTTTGTGTAAATAACGGGCCCAAAATCTGTCTGAGCCAATTGTTCATTAGGCCATTAGGGCTAGTAGTAGTCTGCCTGGGAGGAAGAACATGCAGATCCCTCTCCCTTCTTCACAGGTAATTTCCTCAGTGTGGTGGTGTAGCTGTTATTATTCTAGTTATGACTCCAACTCAGACACTAATAAATTACAAGGTAGAACTTTCCACATCCTGCTGCCAAAGAAGGGTATCGGCAGAGCTGGGAAATCCAGATCTAGGAAAACTTAAATTAATCTTCCAGTTCCAGTGGAGTAGCAGATAGGATTCAGCAACTGATTTAAAATATAACTCACTGCAGTCAGTCCTGACCTTCTGGACAAGAACATGACATATTCGCAGCAAAGAAAAGTTAGAGTTAATTGGGAAACATATTTAGCTATGATCGTACTGATAGTCGCTTTCAACTAACAGCAGTCTCTGAAGGAAGCCCTAGCTGTCCTTATACCGGGGCTGTGGGTGGACACAGCCATAACAGCCCCCAGCTGCCTGCTTCCAGCCTCTTGCCAGAGGTCAGCCCCATGAAGTCTCATGCAGGTGCTTTTTTAACCCATTTCAGCAAAATGAGCTGTTTCAGTTTATGCAGCTCATTTTTGATAACCTTATGCCTCTGTTTGCAATGGTGTACATGAAGAAATGCTTAGACAGGAAACAGAAACCCTTTGCAAGGTGTAGTGATAGGCAGTTGAGGACTGGCTAATGATCAATGTCTTCTACTGGTACATCTGCCTCGCAAACAAAACCTGTAAGATTATACTTTAAAAGGTTTGTCACTCCAAGTGCTATCACCGTAAAATTTTCTCATTTTGTACCTGGTCATTTTTCAATACCAAACTCTAATTCACAGCCAAGCACCAGATGCTGTGATATGATCTTTCCCAGATGTAAAACCTCCGGAGGTTCCATGTCTGCAAAATAAAAGCTAGCCAGGAATATCCTATTTCATTTAATACTAGTCTTGGAAATCTTTCGCCTGGTCATTTTAGTATAAAGTGTAACCAGACAGTGCACATGTGTAGTTTCACTAGAAAGTGAACAGCTATTTATAACCCATGGAACACAGCAGGCCAGGAGCACTAGCACAAACAAACAAACAATAAGTCATTAACTGAATGCTTCAGAAGAACACTCTGAGGTTATTCTGTCCCTTAATGTCGCAGTTCTATGATTTCATTTTCCTAGCTAACCCAAATTTATTTGAAAGGCACTTCAGCAGGCTCACATGGCCAGATCTATCCTGGCTGCCGTAGTAAGGGAAAGAAAAGACATTCATGATGACACAGGAATATCTCCGATCGTAACTTCCTCTCTTTTTCTACCTGCTACCAGTGAGCACTTGCCAGAAATCTTTTTGCATACTTATTATGCAAGATTAGCTATTTTATTCCAGTACTCTTGTGACCACTCATCTGCTTTTGAAAGCAGAAAATCTCTCTACAGCCTTTTTTCCTACTTTGTTCTAGGACACAGAATAACAGCATGTAAGATGTAGTGGGGATTTTCCACCATCTGCAATAGATGATAGCCTCTGAAGTAAGTGCAAGAACCAAAGTTAGAAAATTAACTTTCTGTGTAATCAGGGGAATGTGGGAAACGGAAAAGGAAGGGAGAGCAATTCAGACCTGTGAGTCTCATGCCCACCTAGTGTAAAACAAATCATGTAAATATTTCTTCTTTTCACCATTTAAGGTAGAAAAAACCACAAAGCTCTGGTTCCTGTAAACAATGTGGACTTTCAATGATTCCTATGCTCTGATAAGAGTATTGCAAGTTTAACCAGCTTCTCACTTTGCTTTATCTCTCCTGTGTTGATAAATACTTCTTTTCTTACTCAGATTACTGGAAGACAATAACAATGTCCAAGTCTGGAGAATAAACACCTTCCTGGGCTCAATCACTGATCTTCTGTTACTCAAGAATGTTTCAGATTAAAAAAAATAAGGGGTCAAGGAAACAATGGGCAGTTACTAAATGTGTAATTTGGTTATCTTCCATAATCACGTAGCCTGTGTTAGTAACTCTGGTGCACTCAACCACCACTCACGCCTTCTGCTTTAGGTTTCTGTGCCAGCCAATCTCTTGTTTTCATATACAAGCCAGAGCAGTTTTCCTCAGCAAAAAGGCCTCTGGAGGCTTCTTTCAGAGCAGGGCAAGCAGTGCTTTTCAGCCTTGGGCCCATGAGTTGTGCATTTTGTCATGGTTTCAGCTGGGATAGAGTTGACTTTCTTACTAGCAGCTGGTAGAGCGCTGTTTTGGATTTGGGATGAGAAATGGCGTTGAAAGCACACTGGTGTTTTTGGTTGCTGCTGAGCAGACAAGGCCTTTTCTGGTCCTCACACCACCCCACCAGTGAGCGGGCTGGGAGGACACACAGCTGGTACAGCTGACCCCAACCGACCAAAGGGATATTCCATACCATATGATGTCATGCTCAGTATACAGAGCTGGGGAGGCGGTGGTGGTACTGGGGGATGTGTGGAGTGATGGCGTTTGTCTTCCCAAGTAACCATTACACACGACGGAGCCCTGCTTCCCTGAAGATGGCTGAACACCTGCCTGCTGGAGGCAAGCTGTGAATTCCTTGCTTTGCTCTGCTTGTGTGTGTGGCTTTTGCTTTACCTATTAAACTGTCTTTATCTCAACCCATAAGTTTTCCCTTTTACTCTTCTGATTCTCTCCCCCATCCCAGCCGGGGGAGTGAGAAAGTGGCTGCGCGACCCATTTCTACCAAAGCCTGGCCTCCATCTGAACACCCTGGGGCGGGCAGGCAGACCTGCGCTCACCCCGAGTGTCAAAAACGCTCCTGCTGCCCTTGGACGGGCCGGGGCTGGGGGCTCCGGGAGCGGAGGTACCTCCCGGCTCCCCGCAGCGAGGCACAGCCCCACGCTGTGGGGACAACCACCCACCCGCACCACCCTTGTCAGGTGACACCCACCCACACAGGAGCCAGGCGGCTCCCCCCACCACCTGCCGCGCCGGGGCCCGCACCGCCCACCCGCGCCGTGACGCGGCAACAGCCGGCGGCGGCGCAGGCGCGGTGAAGGAGGCGGAGGGCCGAGCCCCGCCCCTCGGTGGCCCCGTGAGCCCCGCTGCCTTCCGTAGCGGGGGAGCAGGGAGGCAGGCGGAGGAGGGCCGGCCGGCCAGTCAGTCAGCCCCTCACCGGCGGGAGAGATGGCGGCGCAGAAGATTAACGAGGCGCTCGAGCACATCGCCAAAGCGGAGAAATAGTGAGCGGAGGGGAGGTCGTAGCGGGAGGGAGGGGGAAAGCTGGCGAGCGGGCGCCATGGCTGCCAGCTCAGCGCCCAGGTTGTCAGGGCCGCCCGCCCGCCCCATGGAGGCGTCGTATCGCCTCCTGCTCGAGCAGGGGCTCGGTAAAGCGGGCTCCTTGCCGCCGCGGCCACCTTCTCCTGCCGCCTCTGACCCCTGGGGCTGCTGTCCGCTAGCTGAGCGCGGCCTCTCGGCACCCCTTCTGCACCCCTGGGCCGCGGCGGGGGACGGCGCTGGGCTCTTGGGAGTTGTAGTTCTCGCCGCCGCTCATGCGGGGAGTGTGGGCCTGGGGGAAACTACAACTCCCGTGATGCCCCGCGCGGAGTGGTGGAGGGGGGGCAGCGCTTGGAGAGGTAGAGGCCCCACGGCGGGGCTGGGGGAGAGACGGCGACGTGAGCCCGGGGGAAGGGGAGGGAGGTGCGGGGCTGGGGGAGGCCGGCACGGCGGGACGGGGAGGATATGGCTGCTTGGCCCCTCTTCTGCCTCGGGGGCCTACAGGGGGTGGGTGCCAAGGGGTCCCCTTCTTCCCCGCACCGCGAGAATAAAGCGGGCCTAGAAGGAGACAGTCGTGTCGGTGAGGCTGTGTGGCTCTGAGGCCTGGAGCCTGAGCAGGTTCCTGAAGGACCATAAAGCTATTATTGCTGTCACCACAAGTAGAAGGCGAGGGGAGTCACGTCTGCTAAAGTTAGGGGGAGAGAGACAAGCGGGAGAAAAGAGGTGTGGGGATTCTGGTGACGAAAAGGGTTAACCTTCCTGTGATGGTGCGGGTTTGTTTGTTTCCTGCCTATGAGAAATGTGCGATTGTTTCTTTTTAGATAGCCTCGAAGGCCTGTACTGACATTCAGCTTGGAGGGCTTAACATCTACATATGATAGTCTTTTAATGTGTATTTTAACACTAAATATAGCCATTTTGCTTATAAGTCTTAATTTCACAGACTACAGTATAGAGATAACAGAGTTGACTAATCCAAAGATGCTGTAATTTTAGTAAGAATAGTAATGGGCCATCTGGAAATCACAGATCAAAAATAACTGTGATAGAGGAGAAACCTCCTCAGGATAAGAAAATCTGTTCCACGGTATCATATTCAAATTACTTGACCAAAAGTGCCTTTAAGCTTATCCTGGAAAGCATTTGAAATAAAAGGCACCTAAACCTCAAATTGTGTGCAGATTAAGCATTGTGTATTTCAGCTTAATGCATTTGGGTAGTTTGCCTGTGCTAAAAATAACACAATATAAAGGCTTCCTTGAGAGTTACATACTGTGGCTTTCATCCATGTAAAACAACAAAACCAACATAGAGTCTATATACAACTGTTTTTCCAAATGAAGCACGTATTAGTTCTGAAGTGTCTGCCTACAACAAATGTGTAAGTGGGCTCTAAAGTTATGGTAATTTTTATATTTGTTTTAGAAGTGTGGAAGTCATAATATTGAAATCAACATTGCCTCACTTCAACAATGACTCACTTCATTTTGCATTGTATGTTTTTCCCTATATATATGTGTCTGTATGTGCACGTGGTGCCAATTAGCATCATGATTCATTGTAGACATATAAAAGATACATGAAGCTTTGTCTTTGTGCTGGTAAGTTAGTTCTTTCATTTGTGTATTCTTTCATTTGTGTATTCATGGAGAGTCTTTGAGACTTCTCAGCAGCAAAAAATTGCTGTAGAGGAACACCGGGAACTTCATGATACGTAACAAAAAATACTGTTAGGTGTTGTGGTATTAGAAATCTTGAGATATGTTGGAGTAGGTGGAAGTATTTTTCTTCTTTTGGCTTCTTAGTGTCGAGGAGCTGGACTTGTGAAGACTCTCTGGGGACAGTAGAAGCTTGTTAGGGCGAGGCGTGTAGCTATGGGAGATCATTGCAGTGCTTTGTGCAATTCCTAGCAATGCCACCGTTTATAATGGCATGTAGGTATTTGCTCCTTGTCAGAGGTAGTCTAAAGTTTTAAATATATCTGAAATGCTTTGAAGGTGAAACAAAATCTTTATTTATTGTTAATAGGCCTTTCTTCTTGTGTTTTAGTCTGAAAACTGGATTCTTAAAGTGGAAGCCAGATTATGACAGCGCAGCAACCGAATATGGGAAGGCAGGTACGTATGGCTGTAGATATAGCCATATACTTTATGGTTTCAAAGTATTCTTTAAGCTTAATCCCTGATAACATTTCACATATTTTCAGAACATTACTGTGTAAGTAAAACTGTTGTGAAGACAAACCAAGATAAAACAACAAAAAATACTGTAAAATAAGTTTCAGATTGTATTTGCAGATCTGGAACAGTTGTAAAAACAGTTTGGTTTTTTTATTACGCTTATAGCTTCTATTTTGTATATTACTGTGTGTGATAAAAATAAAACTTTCCTTCGTTCACTCATCCATCCCCAAATCCTGTGTCTTGACCTACAAAACAATAACTATTTGAGCTGGTTTGAAAACTTCGCTTCTTCATCATCTTATGATCTATGTCCCAACAAAGATTGTCTCAGTGAAGTAGAAGGATTCTGCCAGTAGTTTTTTTTCAGGTTTAGTAAGATCTCTTTCCTCTTTTTTCCACTGCAAGTGTCACACTGAATATAATATTCTTACTAGTTGATTCCTTTATGTTCTTAAATAATTTTCTTCTTTTTGATAATAGTAATTTATCATGGCTTTTTGGCTTCTTACTGTAGGCATTCCTACTCATTCATTTAAGCCTGAATAAAAAAGTATAAACTTGGAAGAACAACTGGAGCATTTATAAATTGGAATTTACTTTAAATCCTACTTTAATATCCTTTCAGTCTAATGGAGATAGAAATACATATTTGTGCCCTGAAGTGGTTGTGTTGAGGAAGTTATAGATATTCTTTGTTGATGGTAGACACATCCATCACTGATTTTGTATAACCTCTAATGATTAAAACTATATACACCTGCATTCCTGCAGTTCTGTAATTAAAAAATAGAATGAGTGAGTTCCAAAATCCAGTTAAACACATTATGCACAATGTGTGCACAGTAATAGTATGGAAGTGCTGTTGACAATAGATGTTTTTAATGTTATCTAAGTGGTTAATGCAGCAAGGAGGACTGTCATGGGATTTTTTTGGGAGAGCTTGGTGAACTGTAGACATTCATTTAAAAATTCTGTTTGCATCTTCAGGTGGCTAAATTCTTGGGCAGAAGTGGTGAAAAAAGGAAAATGGCAAGCTGTAAATAAGAACTTTATTTGATTTCTTGCAGCTGTTGCTTTTAAGAATGCCAAGCAGTTTGACCAGGCAAGGGAAGCCTGTTTACGGGAAGCTGAGGCACATGAAAACAATAAAGCGTATCTTTTCATTGGTTTGTGGTTTTTTTTTTTTTTTCAAGATGCTGATTAGTTGCTACTTAGAATGGGGGAATGGGGGGTGGTGAAAGATGTATTTAATATATATGTGTGTTTTGTCAGTCTAACAAAATTGTCTTCTAAAAGAGTATTCCTGTGTGCTCTGAGTGGGAAAGCTAAAGAACTCTTTTGTTCAAAAAAGATCTGTATTTTTTCCAATAACATCTGGAGTGATAAGATGCTGACCGGTGCCCGAGATGTCTAGGTACTTATTCAGAAATTATTATATTTTTTTAAAAATACCTACAAATGGATAGTATAAACTAAATGCAACTCAAACATTATTGCACTACTTGTAGTAGTATTTGGTAACCCAAAACATGTTTTAAATAAATATGCTTTTTACAACTTTACATGCAGTTATACTTTGGTGTGTTGCACTTATTCTATCCGTCAAAGCTTTATTTTTGACACCTTGCCTACAAATGTAGTGGGTTTTATTTGCCTTTATGAGATTCCTTGCTTTGAAACTAGTACTTGTATAAGATTTTTGCACACTAATAACTTTTCTGCATTATATTTTTGTGACTTTTGTCCTTGACTTTGACAATGTTACTTCCAGTCTCTTCCATGCTGCCAAGTAAGTACAGAAGCACTGAGTAATCTGAAACAAATTTTCTAACATAAGCTACAAGCACGTACTCTCACTTTGATCTTGCTGTAGTAAATGGTATGATTCAAGTGATTTCACTGTTTCAAAGTGAGTTTAATGGAAGCGCAGGCTAGGAGAGTCTGAAAACCTGCAATGGCCATCTGAAGAAGTGATGATTTTGATATTCTTCAGCACCTTTTTGATATAAAATATTTTTTCTTAGATTAACTTTTTGTAATTTTGAAACTCAACACAGTCTTATAAAGAAATTTTTAATTAAGGAGTGCTTCAAAGCAAGCAGATAATGATAAATAATCCAAATATTGCCTGTGAGTTGGATAATGAGAATAGATTTTTAATGGGGAGTGTGGTTGAAGCACTTCATTTGTTGAAGGTAATGTTACGCGTGCACTGTATCATTAAATAACAGAGTTGAAACACCTTCAAAGCATTAAATATTGACAGTGGAGTGATAGCTGATCCATGTTAACTTCTGTTGTTTAACTACAGCTTGCTGAAATGCACTGTGTCTGACTAAATTGTAAATTTTTTCTCTGCAGAGCTTATGAACAAGCTGGCATGATGCTAAAGGTATTTTCATTTACTAGTTTTTATTAAAAAGTTCTGGTTAATAGTGAAAAATATTGTGCACTGGACCATTTTACAAATATATGTAAGTGAATTGCATGCTATAGTGATATTTTTCTGTTGACTCATAGTCCCCACCAATACCCTCACCAGGTTAGGGAAGCGACATTTGTATTTAGAGGGGCAACAAAAATGGTTTCTCTTTTGTAGAAGGGAAGGTGAGGACCTCATGTCAGAGGGTAATGGGAGAGTGATGCTGCTACTGCTCTAAACTACCACAAATTTATGCCTTCCATGAAAGTTTGTTACTTACAAGTGAATTTTTGGGAGTTGGTGGTCAACTTAACTAGCTCTACAAGTTTGTAAATAAAAATCAGAATCTTAATAAATCAGGTACTGCAGTTTGGTTTGACTTGTTTCATTGTACATAAGCGTAATTCCTGACAGCAACACCCCTCTGCCTGTTGCTTTGCAGGAGATGCAGAGACTCCCTGAAGCAGTTCAGCTGATCGAGAAAGCCAGCATGATGTACCTGGAGAATGGGACACCAGATACAGCAGCTATTGCACTGGAGCGGGCTGGAAAGTAAGTCTGTGGTCTTGGTGGCTAGAATGCATGCAGGGCATGCATATGTCTTTGGATTTCTTTCTTGGTTTTGGTGCCTTCAGGTTAAAAAATAATTGAATTTCATCTGAAGAGAAATAATTTATGCTTATTGCAGGTTAATAGAAAATTTGAGCCCAGAGAAGGCTGTGCAGCTCTATCAGCAAGCAGCATCAGTGTTTGAAGTAAGTGGGGGTTTCGGGGGCTCTTTTGTTATTGTTGGTTTGATTTGTTTGTTTGGTTGGTTTTGGTTGGTTTTTTTTTTTTTTTTTCCACGAGCAAAGAATTTTCCAGTCCCAGAAAGTAGATGAAGAAGAGTGAATTGGTGTTTAGGGTCAACTATAAAGTTAAGAAAAAACCCAAGATTAGGTTCTAAATTATTTTCCTTCTTTTCACATCAGTGGCTGAGTAATAAAGCTGAAGGCTTCTTAGGCTGTAAAGAAGGAGGTTATTAAAGTTAGAAATCAGTTTGCTTTGCCTTTTTCTCGGTTTGAGACTTGACTGAATCTGAATTTTGTGTGTTCTCAACCTGTTCTGCCTCTTGTTGGGCAGCCTGGAGGATAGGGAACGTGGATGCAGTTGAGTCCTTGAGTCCAAAATAGTTTGAAATCTTTGAAGACACAGAAGAAAAGAGTTTGCTTGATACTCTACGCATCCCATGAGCAGATGGTTTGCTTTTTTGCTACTGCCTTTGGTGTACTTCTCTATTGTCAGTTGTCACGTTTCCAGATTAGCAAGTTTGCATTAATGTTACTTTGCTCTGTAGATCCCTGCAGGAGCTGGCTGTGGGACTTGGTGTACCAATGCTCTTCATGTTGCCCTTGAGTATGTGAACTGCTGATACAGTAATTAGCAGTTGTTCTTAGATTAAGGTCTAATGGTTCTGGTTCTATGTAAATGAAATACAAATGCATGAATTCTTTTTGTTCTTCTCTAGAATGAAGAACGTTTACGGCAAGCGTTAGAAATGTTAGGGAAGGCATCAAGACTTCTAGTCAGAGGACGCAGGTATAGCTTTATGCCTTTTTTTTCCCCTCCCTTAAATGTAATTGAAACTGTAATAGTAATATTTATTGGCTTTTTTTCTTGCTGTTGTTGGATTATACTGTTACTTAATTCTTCTTTGATATGCACTTCAAACTAAAATTCAGTTTCTGTGGGATATGCCATGTTCACCCAGGATCCACCTGTTTTGTATTCTGGGATGGGAGAATGTGGGCTGTAAGGCTTTGTTTCCTTTAAGAAATTATCTGGATTTCTAACTCAACTTTTAAGACACTTTATATTTCACTGCAGAATTGTAGTCAGAAAAGGAAATTTATAAAGAAACGTGAAAGTCTTTCTATTAAAGTGAGTCAACAAATCTGAAAGACTTGGTTGCTCTTACTTTATAGCTCATGCTATTACTAATTTCTAGAAGTTTATTATGACGATTAAAAATTATTCAAACTCAAAAGCAGTTACTATGACTTAATAATGATAATTTGTGGATATCAGACTTATTGATGGCTTATAGTAACCTCATGAGATACAGAAATCTCTTAGGGTGCGTAACAAGGCATTCATCTTACAAAATGTTGTGAAAAATGAAGTTTCTCTGAATGAATACCAGAGTTGGTCTTAGCTTGCATGTAGCCAAAAGGAATTGCTGACTATGTATTTCCTAACCTACTCTGTTATTAAGATCTACTGATGATTTTTAGTTGTACTGCTTTTTACTCCAGTAGTCTTGCCGATATATTAGTTAAACAGTTTGTAATTAGTCTCAGTTTAATTATGCTATATTCCTGGCACTGATACTCCTGTTTCTTGGTTTTTCAGATTAGACGAGGCTGCATTGTCTCTTCAAAAGGAAAAAAGTATTTATAAGGAAATTGAAAATTACCCAACATGCTATAAGGTAAATTCTATGAGGTAATTTCTGATAGTGCATTTCAAATTTTTCAGGGTAACTAGTAACAGCTGACATCTCACTGACAATATGTACCTCTTCATTTAGGGATAAGTTTCTTGCTCAATGATTAGAATTCATGGTAGTGCATGTTTCCACAACCTCTAACTGTGCTTTTTTCACTACTATGATGTTGAAGATAAGATGCTGTTACTTACAGGACCTGTCAATATCAACAAACACATAAAAAATAAAGATGTTGTAAACAATAGCAAACCACACAGACTGTTATTGGTGCAACAGTTCATTGCAATATTATACAAGACAATCTTTTTCATACCACCGGAGGATATGGCTCACTATTTTTTCACTATGATGTTCTGAATCATAGCAGATCATAATGACCTTTTTCATGCTAAATGTTATCAGTCCAATATTTTTCTCATATTTCTACTGTTAATTTCTACAGAATCATGAGATTGGTTTTTTTTGTTGTTGTTGTTTTTGTTTAGAAAACTATTGCTCAAGTCTTAGTTCATCTTCACAGAAATGATTACGTTGCTGCGGAAAGATGTGTGAGGGAAAGCTATAGGTAAGTCTATTTCATGGCTTATGATTTTAAACTGAATGTTTCATTAATGTACATCTGCTCTTGTGATAGAGCATGGAAACACTGTCTGTCTGGGAACTGTAAGCCTGGACTTCTGTTGACTTACAGTACAATAATGGCATTCCCTTAAGTATTCTACTTAAACAGTTTTTTTAGTGAAATGGCTTGAACATATGTGTAAGTTAAATTGAACTTTATTTTTAGAAAGAATCTTTCAAGATTAATCTTTAAACATCTTGCTCATGTTTTCCAAGTCTTGAATTTGTGCTTTATATGTAGAAACTTACTACAGAATTTTTCTGTATGTAAAGTAAAGGAAGAGTTTATTGACTAGTCAGCAAAAGGTAAAAAATCCTAATACTCTTTTTGTCTGTTTTATGACTGTGGTCTGTTCTCAGCATGCAAACTAACATTGTTGAAAGTTTAATTTTGTGGATGTTATCCATGTACTTGGAGGAATCAAAATGGCTATAGGTGGTTTTGTGGAAAAAGCAGTCCATCAGATTCTTACAAGCTGCTTGGTCTTCTGCTATTAACCAGCAGTACTTAAAGATAGAATAGCTGAGTGTCAAGTAGATTACTGAAACACCCTAAATTAATTCTTAATTTCCTTCAGTATACCAGGATTTAATGGGAGTGAAGACTGTGCAGCATTAGAGCAACTTTTAGAAGGGTATGACCAGCAAGACCAGGATCAAGTTTCTGAAGTCTGTAATTTGCCACTGTTCAAATACATGGACAATGATGTAAGTAGGCAGTTCCTGTGTATTTTTTTTAATAATACTTTAGCTTGTTCAGATTGAGAGAGAGGTTTTTTTTCTCTCGTAGAGGAAAATAAGAAGAGCAGCGTCCATGTATTTATTGTTACTTGCTCTGTCATCCTACCCTGTGCCTGGGAACTTAATGTATTCTTTTACTTTGCTGCCTGCCAATGTAAATTCCCACATCGCTGTTCCTTTCAGATGGTGGGAAGGCTTAGGTGAAAGAGCAGTTTATTACGGATTTGCTGAGTGAGTTTGAGTAGACTAAATTTCAGTTCCCTTCTGTTTGGTTCCTTAGGGGCCAGAACAGTGTGCTGCTTGTGCTTTGTCTCAGAAATACTGTATAACTGGTATGCACGCGTAAACATGGCAGAATATCATGTCTGCAGGATGGCAGTGTTCAATGTTTTGGGTTTTATTTTTTTCAGCACTTACTCCTTAGCAAGGTACTAATTAGTGAAAGACTTTATTTTTAAAAAAAAAAATTTTAAGGAAGTAGTTGTGCCCCTCTCCCTTTCCTTTTTTTTTTTTTTTAATTGTACTTTTAAATTGTAGGAAGTATAAGGATAGGAAAAGTGTGGAGTAAAGGAGACATCCATCTGTGCCAAACTTTGTGACAGTATTGACTAATATTACTTTGTTACTCTGTTGGATGGTAAAAATTAAGGTACTAGTCTTACTGAAAAAACACTTGTGAGAGTTTTTACATGAACTTTTACTAGAAAATGTATGCAGAGCTACATACTGAAAAAAGATTTTCTTTTTAAAATAAAGTTTGAACCACAGAAGCTGTAGTAAGTATGTGGCCAAATTATTCTATAATAAGCAGTATCAATATAGATCTCTCATCCCATTGTCAAGAGTGTTTGAGGAACCAATGTTAGGCTTAGTCTAAGCTGGAAAAATAAGATTTGAAAGTAGCAACGATCTGTGTTCTGTACGGAATGTTACCTGCTTGTTTGTTCTGAGTGTCAGTCAATTCTGTGCAGTGTAATTCAACAAGATTTTACTTGTGTGGTGGTACAGAAATTAAACTTGCCTTTTTATTGTTAGTATGCCAAGCTTGGTCTTACCTTGGTGGTCCCAGGAGGTGGCATCAAGAAGAAATCACCAAACGCTGCACAGGACAAAGCAAGAGGACCAGCTGCAGTGGGCTCTCATGCCGAAGAGGAAGAGGATGAATATTCTGGTGGACTATGTTAGCTACAGAAATAGGTTGTCATAAATATCTGACTTATTTGTGATGTTGAGCATATCCAAAGGTACCAGATTTACCAGAGCTTCATTGCAATTGTGATATGGGAATGCTAATATTAACTTGGCAGCTTCTGGGTACAATAGAGGAGAAAAAGCATGATTGTACCTATCATCTTGAAGTATTTTTTGGACTCCATTTCTTACCTGGTAGGAACTTCCTCAGGGCCCTGCCTTCAGTTGATGGGAAAGAACTGAGAGAAATTTTTACTTAAAGCACAGTTTAAAAGAAACCAAAATCCCAGAAGCACTGGAGTTGGGAGAGCGGTACAAAAATTGAAGTGCTGGATTTCAATAGCTGACACTTTTTGGTCCCACTAATGTGTTTGTTTTCTGAGTTATATGTGTTCATTCATCTGACTAATTATCTCCTGCTTAACACCGTTTGAGGCAGACTGTGCCAGGCAGGATTTTTCACTAGTATAAACACTAGGGGGAGCATTCAGTTTATTTTCAACATGTTTTTACTCCACTTGGAATATTATTTTAATACCTTATTCTTTGCAAGCAGTATCCATGTGGGTGGAAAATAATAAGTCAACTAGTTTGAAGCTATCTTGGAAGTTTAAAAGTACACACACACCTTTCATCTCAAGAACTTTATTGGCCTGAAGTCTTTGGAAATGAATGTGTGCATAGTTTGTAATGTGCAACTTGGGAATGGAAGGAGTGGACAACCTGTCTTAGCAGTGATTCTGGAGCACGCCATAACCAAAAAAGAAACTGACGGTAGCAGGTAACATGCATTGAATATAAAGCTCTGAAGACAATGTTTAACAAAAACTTAGGTGCAATGTTTAAATGATATGTTTGAGTTCACGAGTGTTCTAGGTGTTTATTTACTGATCAATATGCTGGTCTACAAAGACATTTCATTCTTTCATATTTTCAAAGCATAGAACAGCTATCTTTCAAATGGCATTTTTGAAGCTCGTTAAGAATCCAAGTAAGCAAATTTTAATGCGTCTTCTCTATTTGCTTTCAAGTCATCATGTGTTTTACAAGGTTCTGTAGTGTCTTAAATTCAATCATTTTATGCTTAAATGTTGACAACAATGCAAGTTGTACCTGTGGTCCGTTTCTTCAGAAGAACCTAATCAAGATCTGCACTATGGTGAGATCACTTGGAATCTAGCAGGGATATGTATGCAATATGTGATGCCCAAAGTTCAATAAACAATAGACCAAAAGCACAGCGTAAATGTTGGTCCAGTGTCTGCCATATTAAAGAATTGGATATCTTCAAAAATATGTCTGGCGTATATGTGATGTCTGACATCAGTATGTCAGACATAATTGTGATGAAGGGAAACTTGTAGAGGGTTAATACTGACTTTCCTTGGGGTGGATAGTACTCAATGGCATTGTGATGGGTGAACAAGCTACGGCATGATTTGCAGGCAGGCCTGCTGTAAGTCACCTTATTCAATTTAATGGGTGTTCAAAAAGCAGTTTTGTCTCTGTATTATGTAATAATCAGCTTGGATTTTAAAGCTACTTTAGACTACACTAGAGTAGTTCTGTACTGACAGGTAATTTCCCTTTGTTATTAATGGTATATATAGAAGTTTTTGCACTTCTATAAAATTGTCTAAATGAAAATTTGGGAGTAAAATTGCTTTTCTCTGATTACAAGTATACATGAAAGATGGTTTTGAAGATTTTCCTCTTTTTTTCACCATTGGAGTAACTCACTTGCAAGTTTACTTAACTTTTACCTTCTGTGTGTGTTCCTGAGGGTGACCATGCACTTCTTATGGGGAGTCTTTATCACAAGTAGAAAAAGCCTGCACACGTAGGAGCACTGGAAACACTAAGTCATTTTCTTCAAGTTTTTCCTGCTACTTCCAATTCTGAAATAAATTTTGTTGAATTGTCCCAAGGAATCTCCTTTTTCGTGTGTGTGAACAGTTGTACATATCTGAGAAGACAACATGCGTAAGAAGAAAAATTGGGAGCCTTGTGTGCTTCTGTGAAAGAATTTGCAGACTTTATTTAAACTGTGCTTGTAACACTAGCAGGCCCTTAAAACAAAAATTAAAATTTGTGCATTAGATTCTTAAAGAGTTCTTTTCATATTGCCAAAAAAACGTAAAAGATGTGCAATACTGTTCCCAAGCCTCCCCAGCTTTTTTCTCTTTTCCCTATGCCAAGTGTGGAAAATCTGGGACAAAAGTAACTTGTACTACACAGGTTAAGCTGCCATTGAATTGAAAGGGGCTTCTCTGAATCTTAGTAGAACTTAATCTTTGATTGCAATGTTGCTGCAAAGAGCAAATCTGCAGAAATTGAAGTATCTGAAAATAAGATGGTCTATTTTATATAACTTATTCTCCTATTTTAGGCAATGAAATTGTGATAGGAAGGTTAACTGCCTTTTAGTAAATGTTTAACTATACAAGAAGCTGTCTGTATATTCTGTGTTAGTGTTTGTTTCTATCTTCCAAAGCAATTTGCACTCATGTAAATATCATTTTAGTGATTTAAAGTGGAAAATATACCATTTACAGCAAGAAAGTTTCCAAAGTCAATGTTGACTGTAAGAAAAATAAATTATGCATGAAGGCTGAGTGATGGCCAATGCAATGTATGTGTAAAATCAGAAGATTTCTAAATTATCTGTAACTTAAGACTCAGTATGGCCAAGTGCAGTGTGAAACCTGTGCTTTATTTGTTCTTTTTCCAAATCTGTGGTGTATTAGAGTACAAAATGTGTTTGTAACAGATCTACCACTGCTGCTTCTTCAGAAGAGGCTGTGTGTTTCACCAACATGAAAAATAAAACGTGAAATTAATACATTTGTGCTAGCTTTCCCTGTTGTTGATCAGCTCCTACTGAGCACCACCATTTGAAAATGAATATTCTTTTTTTAATCTCAAGCAGATTTGGTGTGTGACCATTTGTCTGCAGATCCTGTCACCGAGTGTTGGAGGTACATTATGTGATCCAGGACTAAGCCTTGGGAACTTACTGGCTCAGGTTTGAGTGTTGAAAGTCAGTGGTGTCCAACCTTTGTGGCTTGTTCACTAGATATTTGCTTACAGCCCATTTCATTTATCCTGTGGGCTTTGGTTTTCTAACTGACCTTTTCCTGCCTTTCTGCTGGCTTTCATTATTTGAGGTAGTAACACATCTCGGGCAATTCTGTCCACTCAGAATAAAAAGGGGGTGTGTGTCTGTGTTGCCTCTGATGATTGTGATGTTTTGGTAGTTCGCTCACTTCCCAAAAGGAAGGCATTCAGAAGACAAAGATGTTATATTGGGTGATTGTCAAACCTAAATTTGTTGTCTTTAACAACATGAAATAGAAATAATTGATTGTGGAGTCCCTGGTCTTCCTTAATCTTGGCTAATTATTCAAGGCATAGTTATGATTTTAAAAAAAGGCTGTGTTTCTAATGATGATGGAGGACACAGATTCCTTTATTTGCCATGGAGTAGAACAACTTGTTTCCGTAATTGGGCTGATTGAATGTGTAGCAAACTCTTGAAGCCTTCAGGAAAAATACACAAATATGCTCTAAGATTCAGCTGAACATGCTGAAATCCAGAAAGGACTGAGAACGTTAATGGGAGCGTCATTTTACTTATGTGATAAAATGTCACTGGTGTATATTTAAGCAGGTGTATAAATTAACATAGGGTTGTGGTTTTTTTTTCCCTCCCAAAGATTAATTTGTAATTCTGTTACAGATTTGGGGGAGGAGGGTGGAGATTTTCTTTTAAAGCAGGGATGTTACTTGTATTTGAATGAAAACTTATTCTGTTAAAAGTATATAAAATAAGTAGGTTTCTATATGTGCTGAATTCATGCAGAAATACTGAAGAGGGTGGGGGCATTTGAAGTATAAATGTGAAAATTAAGACTGCTACATTCATTGGAGATAATTAATCATATTTATCATGAGTCAAATTTTCAAAGCTGTTTTTGTCCATGGGAACGTAAGCTTGTCGTCATTATTCAGTTGGATCCAGTGGGGATCAACATGTCAAAAGCCATATGTCTTTACACGATTTAAGGATGTGAACTCTGTAATTGTTTGGAGACTTCATCATTGCAGAAAAATCACATTTTCTACCATTTTAAAACTTGCTGGAATACTTGAAGGCTGAAGACTGGCACTGAAGTTCTTCAGCATGACAGGAATCATCCCTTGGACACTATGAATAAGCAGCTGTGAAAATGATAAGAACTAAGCTGCTCTTGGAGGAAAAAACCCACCTTTAAAAAAAAAATTATCTATGTCTATAATAAGCAATGAACTTTTCTGGATGTAGGAAATCTCAGAGGTCCTTTCCAACCATGGTGATTCTGTGAAATAGAAAAAAAGAAGCCCTCTTCAACCCCAACAACTGTAGTAGTGGTAATAAAATTGGAGCAAGGAGATGTAACGTTTCAGAGCAGGTGGGAACCACTTAGCATCAGTGGCTGTGTGAGTGTGAGCAGGGTTATTAATGTCCCAGCTAATGGTGTGTAGAGGTGTGCTGGTGTCCTCTCCCTGTTTCCTGCCCCCCCCAGCTCCTGCTCAGGCCTCGGCCACCGTGGCCATCACAACATCAGTTGTGATAACTTGCACCTGGACTTTGGGGGATGGCTGGCAACACAGCCATACCGTGGCCATCACATCAGTTGTGATTACTTGCACCTGGACTTTGGGGGATGACAGCCATAACACTGTCTGGAGCGGGGACCTAGAAATTCTGTTTCCATGAGAATATGACTCTAGGTCAATTATCTTACTGTATAAATAGTGGACAGCCCAAGAGCCCTTTGAGTTCTCCTGTACGGCAGTGGGCTGCACGCCAGGATCTTCCCTTTTGTGAAGATGCTCACTTAAGGTTCTGCACCTCAAGGTTGAGAGATTCCTTGCCGCAACAGGTTCTCGGTAAGTGACTAACAGCATGCTACACTTAGAAATCTTAGCTAAGTAATGTAAAGGATTGATTGTGCATATATAATCCTTTAGACATAAACCGTTGACCAAGTCTGGGACTAGGACTGGATCCAGCTGCACCTAGACTCCTCTCTGAGAAGGAGTTTAGAAAGCAAGGGGGTCCTTTCTGAACCTCGTGACTCAACGGGAGGGTCTCCCTGGCAGCTTGTCTGACCCTGTCCTCTATGCAGTAAATAATAGAGTGTACCCTGACATCGAATCTCATAAAACACTATTGCATTTACTACTGGTTTTATTGCACTTACTACTGGTTTTGTTAAATCACTTTTTCACCTTAATAAATATTTCACTACTTTACTCTAACCAGTCAAGTGAATTGCTCCGTCCGCAACAAGGGGCTGGCATCCCCAGGAGCTGGGCTCACCTCTTCCTGTACCTTAGTACCTGTAGGAGATGATGTGTACACGTGCTGTATCTGACCACCTCCCAAAAGGCCGCTGGGTCTTTGATCCAGAGCTGTTGCCCTTCAGCCGTGATTCCCAGTGGGCCCGTGGTGCAGCAGCGTGGCCTCCAGCCTGGAACGGGAGCGAGAGGCAGCTGCAGGGCTGCACGTACGTTTGGAGAACGTATGGCTGCTGTTGGATCATCTGCTGAGTCCCGAGGGAGCAGCAGTAGTGAGCGTGGCCGGGCTCCGAGGTGCTCGCTGCTGGGATGTTGACGGGTGTGCAACCAGTTTAGATCACTCGAAGGACACGTTTTGATAACTGGAGTGACAGAAGTAGGTCTTATCATGTGCAAAAGGAAAGCGGGTCATCATCAGTTGCCTCGCATGGTTTGGGTATGTGTTTATGTACTTGTTTGGGTTTTTTTGCTTTATTTCTAAACTCGGCGTAACCCGGGGAGGGTCTGTTTCCCCAGGAGCGCTGTGAGGGTGTCAGCGCTAGATGGTGCCGCACAGCAAGCAAAGAGCTTTCCTCCGCCTCTGGGAAGCCCTTGCTCCACGTCTGGGGCAGCTTTTCCTTTGGAGTACTCTCAGCTGGAGCATTGGTTTGGTTCGGAACATTCATACGGGTCCCTGCTCTCGATGCTGCTTCTCACGGCTTAAAAACACCACGCTTGGAGTGTTTCAGCAATTTGAAATTCAGAATTTGAGCAACCTGCTTTAGTGGGAGGTGTCCCATGGCAGGGGAGTTGGAACTTGATCTTGATGACCTTCTAACTCTAACCATTCTATGATTCTGTGAAGTCGGGGAAGAGAGCAGCCATGTGGGGTCAGCCCATCATCTTCCACGCTGGCTGCCGTGCAAGCCCTCTGCTGTAGTACTGCTGCCCTGCCAGGTGGCTCTGTCCTCTGCTGGGGCAGATGGGGTCGGTGCTGGCTGCTGGTTAAGGCTCCCCTTCCCTGCCCGGTTGGAGAGTTGGTGGCAAGGGGCTGCCAGAAGTGGTCTGCCAGCTGCGCTGCTGGGGGACTCTTTGGGCAGTCCATCCTACTGCAGGCAAGAGGCCAGGGGGCTGCTCTGCAAGACCCTGCCTCTGGTCACAAGAAGATTTAACCCATGCTGTGTTTTTCTCTGAAACCAGAGATCCAGCCCTCCCTCCCCTTGTGCTGATCTCACCCGCCCCCCTAAACTCAGACAAAATGCATTTATTTTTTGCGGGACTGTTTTAGCACATGATAAAGGGGCTCTTCAATAGGTTCAGGTCCCAGCTATGATGGGTATGAAAAATTTACCTTTCTCTCCTCTTCTCTGTAACGTGGGTCTGGGAAATTAGGTACTTAAGAACCAGGTTACAGAGGGTAGGTGGGTGAAGAGCACGTAAAACAGTAGCCAGTGTGCATTATAACTTGTTAACAGAGACTTTCAACTTCAAGGCTGGCCGATTGTGTTGCAATTGCAACTTTCCTTGCAGCCACAAAATTTTATGAAATGCCACAGGGGCAAAACACAGTGTTAAGGACAGAAATCAACAAGTGGAGGGGAGGGAAGTTAGCTGAAAATGGAAGGAGTAAGGAAGTCGGTCATCATGCAATGGTATGTTGGCTGATGGAAGAGAGAGCTCCTGCTGGAATTTGCAGAAAGGACTACACTGCCAAAAAATGCCACTTTCCGATTCCTCCACAAAGGCAGGGAGGGAAGGATGAGAACTGGCACAGCTGCTCTGTTCACACTGGGGAGGGGTTCTGCTGCCATGTGTGCTGCCAGGCAGTATTGAACACAGATATGTTCTGGGATTTGCGTCCTCTGCCTGTCACTAACTGATAGCAATTTGGGAATTAAAGGTAAAAAGCCTTGTAGCAGCAGACAGGGACTTCTTTTTTTGTGTATGTGCAGCTGACAGCTTTCTAGCCAATGCTTTCTCTGCTGCACTGCTCAACAACTGTCCTGGAGTAATTGTGTTAGTAATAATATAGCAGAGAATTCATGAAGTGTAAAGACCTATGGTACCCCATGTGTCTTATTGGTGCCAAGTGTTTTATTTGACTGACGACCATCCAGTAATTTTCTGGCTCCCGTCTTGTGTAAATGTATGATTTTCCAAGCTGAATAGCTGGAGAAAGAATGAGGATCCTCTCAGCTGCACCAGAGCCCAGAGCATAGGCTGGCATGTAAGGAGTGAGTGGTTAAAGCTGGGTGGACTTGGGTAAGGCAGCTGTGTAGCAACACTAACTGAGCAAAATATTTTAAAGGTTTGAAAGCAGGCATGCAGAAACACTGGTATATTTAAAACTTCTCCTCTAAGTAAGATATTATTGTGGTACTTCAGCAGGATTAATGTTTATCCTCCCGAATTTATCAAATACTGCTTCTTGTGGGAATTCCTGAGAACTCATTTTCTCCCTCCCTTTGAAATGCTTCAGACTGTTCCTGATGCAAGATATGAGTTTGGTGATAAGCCCTGCTG